ATCACACAGCTAAGAAAGACAGAACTTGGATCCAGCCACAGCTCAATGCTCCCATGGCATCTGTGCTGCCCTCTTCAGGGCACTGCACAAGAATTGTGCTGCTGGTCTGTCTCTCCCACCAGACTGCAGGTTTCTTGAACTCAGGGTCAGGACTTTTAGCTCTTGGCCTGACACCATGAACCACTCAGTACAGGCTGAATGAATACGGCTCTACCCAAATGCAAACGCCAGTCACAGTTTGAGGATGTTACATTGGAGAATGCTCTGGCAGCCCTGTGGGTTACTTCCAAAGACAATTGGTTCAACTGAGTTTAGTCTAATCAATTATTTTGGGGAAGAGGGAATGACCATATATTGATATTTGCTGTGCCGGATACTTTATAACCATTATTTCACTTTAAGGGAGCCAAGGTTTTTCTCATGGAGAAAGAATCATTCTGCCCCTTTCCTTGAACCCAGGGCAGCCAGGGGGAGATCTGAGACTGTTCCTTGTCACATTGTCTCCTGCAGGTTCTGGAAAGTCTAGCTTACTGGGATTCAAGGAACCATCACTGTCCCCTGTCTCTTTGGCCCTTGCTGTCCTGGCCTCAGGAGTGGCAGCAGGCTCGAGGGGCTCATGGCTCTCTTTCACAAAGCCTCTATTGTCCAGTGGCATTGCTCTGGTATTGTGAAGCTCGCTTCCTAAGACTGCAGGGTAGAAACTGGGGTAACAAAGCAGCCTGCCCTTTGGGGAACCCGGATGACATCTCTGGCCCCCCCACGCTCAGTCTCCCTGGAGCTGCTGCCCTTGAGCAGAGCAGGGAGAGAGTCCAGGCCCTGGTCTTGGCCTCTGATCTCTAAGGTCCTCCTGCCTTTTGGGGCGAGGGGCCCCCGAACTGGCCACAACTGCTCTGTTCTGTGGAGCATAGATGTCCTTGATCTGGTGAACAACCAAGAAGCCTAACAGATCGGCGAAAATCCTGAACTATGTGGATGAAGAATCAAGGATGGCCAAGTTGCTGATCATTATTGCCCTTACTAGTAACACACAAATAAATAATCATTAGAAATTAACAATGTTATAATAATACCTTGATGGCATCTTTGGAATCCCAAAGGTTTTGTATCTTTTAAAGTTCTTTAAAAGACCTTAGGGTGGGCTTCCCTGGTGGCGCAGTGGTTAAGAATCCACCTGCCAATGCAGGGGACACGGGTTCGAGCCCTGGTCCAGGAAGATCCCACATGCTACGGAGCAACTAAGCCTGTGAGCCATAACTACTGAAGCCAGTGTGCCTAAAGCCATGCTCCGCAACAAGAGAAGACATGGCAATGAGAAGCCCACGCACCGCAACGAAGAGTAGCCCCCGCTCGCCATGACTAGAGAAAGCCCACACGCAGCAATGAAGACCCAATGCAGCCAAAAATAAATTTAAAAAAATAAAGAAAGAAAGAAAAGAAAAAGAGTTAAAAAAAAAAAAGACTTTAGGGTAAGGACTGGACTTACGCTTCTTATTGCTCCCCCTTCTTTATATCCTACCGCCACCAGCTAATGAGCATTTTTCTGGGCACATCGTTGGTGCTCAGGAGTTGCAGTAAAAATGGAAGTAAATCGCAATGGAGTCAAGTGTCTCTGCTTCTCCAAGAGGCAGGGAGATTCTTCATATGCTATGGCATGAGAAGCTGAAGCCCAGACTGGTGCCCAAGGTCACTCAGAGACAAAGCTAGGAAGACAAGCCCACACCTACAGCCCGATGATCTCTCTGTCCCTTCTCTACCACTGACAGTGACTGGGCCTGCCCAGAGTCTGGTTATGACAGACATTTTCTCTCACTTCTCCCCGATCATTCTCTGTCTGGTTTTTATGGAGTGATTAAATACACACTGTAGAATATTAGTTGAGATTGTGTTGCAAATTAACATTCCTTTTATATCCCCTCACCTCTCCCACTCAACCTCAGAATGTCTCCCTGGGAAGAAAATGACCCACACAGCACTTTTCCCTTCCAATCCTAGTTACAGCTTCATGATTTTAAAAATCATCTTGTCTTCTTTTATTTATAAAATAACAGCTATTTATAATTTAGGCTCTGACTGTGGAAATAAACTCAGGGTGTCAGCCGTGGGGACATGGGAAGTATGAAAATTTTGAAAGTGTTACTTCCATTGATTTTGTTTTGGCTGACAATATACTATTTTTTTTTAATCTATTTATTTTTATTTTTGGCTGTTTTGGGTCTTTGTTGCTGTGCGCGGGCTTTCTCTAGTTGAGGTGAGCAGGGGCTACTCTTCGTTGTGGTGCGTGGGCTTCTCATTGTGGTTGCTTCTCTTGTTGCGGAGCATGGGCTCTAGGCGTGAGGGCTTCAGTAGTTGTGGCACGTGGGTTCAGTAGTTGTGGCTCGCAGGCTCTAGCACGCAGGCTCAGTAGTTGCGGTGCACAGGCTTAGTTGCTCCATGGCATGTGGGATCTTCCCGGACCAGGGCTTGAACCTGTGTCCCCTGCATTGGCAGGTGGATTCTTATCCACTGCGCCATCAGGGAAGTCCCAACGATATACTATTGACGTTTTACTTTCCCTGTTACAATTTGGCTTGTTCATCAGAGGTCAGATGTTTGATAAAATTAGTCCACTTTGCGGACTTTTATTTATGATGCTTTTCCATCTCATATGCATTTAATTAATTAATTTGTTTGTTTGCCTTTGGCCACGCCACATAGCATGTGAGATCTTAGTTCCCCAACCAGGGATCGAACCTGTGCCCCCTGCAGTGGAAGCGCGGAGTACTAACAACTGAACCGCCAGGGAATTCCCTAATACGCATTTATTTAATTATTTATTTATTTATTTTTGCGGTACGCGGGCCTCTCACTGTTGTGGCCTCTCGCGTTGCAGAGCACAGGCTCCAGATGCGCAGGCTCAGTGGCCATGGCTCATGGGCCCAGCCGCTCCGCGGCATGTGGGATCTTCCCGAACCGGGGCACAAACCCATGTCCCCTGCATCGGCAGGCGGACTCTCAACCACTGCGCCACCAGTGGTTTTCTTTTTTGTTTTAACATCTTTATTGGAGTATAATGCTTTACAATGGTGTGTTGGTTTCTGCTTTATAATGAAGTGAATTAGCTATACATATACATATGTCCCCATACTTCATATGCATTTAAAATGATCAGTTGTGTGTGTTAAGATTAGTAAACCAATCAAAGATTAGTAAACCAATCAAAGATTAGTAAACCAATCAAAAATAACAAAACATAATCCCAATGTTATGAATCAGCAGTAAGTTAGAAACTGCCTGAGTGTAGAGCAAAGAATTCACATCCTAGTGAATAAATTCCTTGTAGCATAGATGCTAGCAGAACTGTTCTTTCTAATAAACTAATTTTTTTTTCACTTTTACCTTGTGTAGAAGGAGTAGGGGTTTTAAGAAAAATCTAAGTCAGTAATTTCTTTAAAATTATCCTGGTGAGGTATTGATTGATTGATTGATGGATTGTGGTAAAATATACATAAACATAAAATTTACCATTTTAACTATATTTAAGTGTACAGTTCAGTGGCATTAGTACATTCACATCTTTGTGTAACCATCACCACTGCTCATTTCCACAGCTTTTTCATCATCCCACATCTAGCATATATGTTTTAAATATTCATTTTCTTTTTGTTAAGTAGGAAGAGCTTCCCTATCTTCCCAGCCCACACCTCGGAGATATTAAATTAAGGAGGGTAACAGTCACTTCCATGTATTAAGATTGCCATGTGCTTTGTAGGCATCATTGCCTATAATCCTCAAACAACCTCATGAAATCTGAGTCTGGTCTCTATTTCACAAAGAAGCTGGAACTGGCCAAGGACACACATGAATTTGAGCATGAATTTGAGCCCAGAGAAGGTGCCCCTCCCGGTGGCCCTCAGCTCTTATCCACTCAACCCTGTGCAAGCGGGGAGCGGCTCCAGCCTGCATCTCCAAGCCCAGGGTGTGCCTCTCAGCGACTGGCGGCATCCCCTGCTGGGTCTGTGCCGTTTGAGGGCAGCCGCTTCCCAGCCTCACCTCTAGCTCCACAATCCTGGGTCTATGGATTGAAGTCCCTCTGCTCTCTCCACTTCCAGTTCCTCCTCTCCACTTCCCTGTGCTCATTTCATGGCTGCGAGCACTTCCTTACCTCTGTTCCTCCTGACTTCCTTCAAGCCCTCCCCTTGTCACCCTCTCCAGTGCGGGTTATTTCCACACCCTACTCAGTACAGACCCCAGAGACCTGGATGGGCTTGCCTGGGTCTTTGCTGCTTCTTTCAAACTTTTATTCTTCCTCTCTCTGCAGAACAAAGCTCATCCCCCTGCAGCTGGGATTGGACCCCCTCTACCCCTCTGAGTTATCACCTGTGCCTCCCATCCTGCCAGGTACCCCCTGGTTCACTGAACACTTGGAATCTCGTGAAGCTTCCTCTGCATGCAGCCCCCAATGCTCACGAGAGCCTCACACTTCCTTCCCCTGTAGCCGTCTTCACCTTCTCTCCACTCAGCCACTCCTTCCCAGGCCCAGACCCAGGTCTGGTCTCCTTTCCCCGCCCTCCTTATGCCCTGTTCCTCAACCTCTGACAGCCTCCTGGTTCTTCAGCCCCTTCTTGTCTCTCCTCTTTCCTCCATGGGTTTTCAGTGAGTGCCCTTGCAGCTCTGTTCTTCAGCTACTCTTGTCTGGAAAAACCTTCCATCAGGTCCCTGGCTTTTACCCCATGTACCACTGTTGAAGAAAAACACAACATAGACTCCACTTCAAACTCCTGGTCTCCCTGAGCCCTTGGTGTCACCCATCAGTTCTGCTCTTTGTCCTTGACTAGCTCCTTCACCCGTTTCTCTGCAGAGTAACTGGCACAGCTTCACCATGATTCTTAAGACTCCTCCTGGGCTCCCTTCTCAACAGAAGATGGTGCCTCTTATTTCACTGAGGAAACATCAGGCTCTCAGTCTTGAACTCCCTCGACTGCCCACCCCACGACTTGCAGGTATATGAAGCAAGATGTGAAATGGAAGTTTTGGCAGAGACACTACAGTGTGATTGATGCCAGGTATCAAGTTGGTTGGGAGACAGACCACCCCTGGGACCGTGCACATTTCCAAGGGTTCATGACCAAGAATCTGCTAGATGACTCTAACACCCCCGGCATGGAATAAAAGGATTGAAAAGGAGGGTTAGAAAGGATTTTTTTTGGGGGGGGAGAATTGTGTTGGGGGAACACCCCTCCCAAGAGGGAGACCATTTAAGGCCTCACCTCTGGCCAAAAGAGGGCTTCAAGGAGGCCACTTGGAAAGGTTAACATATGACCCCTGGAATTTGGTGGCAACAGGGCAGAGAGAGGACAGACTGCACTGAGAACGAATTACCCTTGGCCCTACAATGGAGCCAGAATGCATGGGTGTGCCTTATGAAAGAGGGGCGGGCTCCACAGAGAGCTAGCCAGCCTGGAGCTGTTGCAAACCCCATCAGGAAGAGTGTCTGCAGGAGGAGGGGACCCCATGGAGTGGAGGATGGCTCTTAAGCTCCTACATTAGGAGTTGAGGAAGAATATGCAAGACCCTTGTCAGGGGAGGTACAGTTAAATGTTCCCAGTGGAGGCTTCTTAGGACCCAAAGGAGTAATCCACCAAGAGACAGCTTGAAATACCTATTGGGCCCGGAGAGCCTAAACTATCTTAAGACAGTACCAGTCAAATAAGGATTTTTTCGCTTCTCCCGACCTCTTATCCCTCTTTTTGCTTCATTCCTGATGGGGTCTGAAACCAAAATTATCCTGAGAAGGGGAGGAATTGTGGACACATAAAGTTGGCAATGAGATGCCCCTCCTAGACCACAGTGTTCTCACTTGCAGCTGGCCCCAGTGGGAAGAAGAGAGACCCCTTGGCTGTAAATGAAATTAGGACTTTGATTCTTACTTGAGATTGGATATTTGTAATTAGAGAATTGACACTAAATTTGCAACCCGAAGTTACCATAGAATTGATGACTTCTAGATTTCTATTTCCAGCACAGACTTCTCCTTTGAAGTTTCATTCTTATGTGTTCTAAAGCCTACTGGTCATTCCCAATTAGTTGTTCTCCAAGCTCCTCCAACTCAGCATGTCATAACCAAACTCATCTCTCTCTCTGAACAAGAGGCTCTTCTTTATGGTGGTAATAGCTTAGTTGGAAGTGCCACCATCCATTCATCCACCCACCCATCCATCATTCCAAATGATGCCTCAGTTCTCCTATCACTTTTGTCCATTTGAACACTTGTGAAAATGTGGTTCAAATATGAACCCCAGGGCTTCCCAGGTGTCGCAGTGGTTGAGAGTCCGCCTGCCGATGCAGGGGACACGGGTTCATGCCCCGGTCCGGGAAGATCCCACATGCCGCGGAGCGGCTGGGCCCATGAGCCATGGCCGCTGAGCCTGCGCGTCCGGAGCCTGTGCTCCGCAACGGGAGAGGCCACAACAGTGAGAGGCCTGCATACAGCAAAAAAAA